GTGTTCAAAGATGCAGGCTTTTAAACTTCAAGACATCTTGTCAGTAGAAGTGTATCTACATGGCAAGCACTTTATTTGATAAAATCCCAGTATCTGAAGTGGTGTTGGAACCATCTTTCTTTCTAATTATATCTTCAACTGTCTTGGAGGTGGTGGTAAAGGCCCTTGTGTTAGGGACAACTAATTTAATCTTGTAATATATTTGTAATATATCTGTATTAATTAAATTTTGTAGATAGAGTGTTAAAAGGGTAGGATTATGAATTTTGTGTTGTTGATGTTAAAAGTGCTAGCAGCAGTGTCAAATTTTATATATAAGGATTGATTTCTTTTCTTTTACAGCTTATCAACACTTTGTGGGTTATTTAATCTGAAACATATTTCAGATTCAAGGAGGTTACTTATTCGCATCTAAAGTATTGACCAGGCTGGACACTCCTTAACTTTGGTGATCAATATTTTCAGCATGATTTTACTGTAAGCTATCAATATTCCTTTGGTATATAGGGGATCATGAACTCCACTGCCTATTTATTACTGTTTTGTTATGTTCAGTTATTACTGTTTAGGTATGTGTCATTCTTCTTGCAGTTTTTCTTTCCTCCCTCACATTTTATTGATTTTTTTCTCTTGCTTGGTTTTTGGCTTTTTGTTTTTTTTTTAACTTTTCTTTGGTCACTTAGCAGGCTGTGTCTTGGTTTTAACTGTTATGATAGGTATTCTCTCTGACAGATATAGTCTTGTCAAGAGAAGATAACTCTCCACTCGGTATAGCCATACTGCTTTTTATACAGAAGCTCATTTACATATCACTACACCTCCCTGAACCTAAGAGGCTTTATACCTTTAGTTGGTCTTTGACTTCTCCAAACAACCCTGGAAGGCATAATCTGTCTCTTAGAGTGAGTCTCTTTGTTTCTATTTATAGGAGATCTAGATCTTAACCGATTCTCCTCATTTGAATCATCATGATATCTCCTGTCACTCTCATCCCCAGATTGTTCCTCACTACTACTGGATACACTCAGTCTCTCCTCCCTCTCCTCCTCTTCACTTTCATATCTCTTGTAGTCTTCCTGATCAATCTCAATACTGGATTTATTCATTCTTTCTTGTGTTTGTTCTTCTGCTTCCTCTTGCTTCTTCTTTTCCCTAACGTTATGCTCTCTTGAGCTTCTAAATTGGTCTTTGTGAGCCAGTATGCCTTGTCCATTCTTTGTTAACACTGCTCTGTTAAATCCCTTTTGCACCACAAAATTTGCCTTTTCAGGACTTGAATCCTTGTCCTTTCTGTACCATACACTTTCATTTGTTGCAAATGACATGGCAATCAGAGCTCTTATTTGTCTTCCCATCAACGCAGATAGGCTTTGTCTTCTGCCTGCATATGAAATAGCTCTATAACTTTTTAACTCACCAACAATGCAAAGCACCTAAGCCAGATTTCCATATATTCAGGATCCTCTATTGTGACTAAGTAACTGATTAGCAATGCCATATTGTTATGATAGGTATTCTCTGTAACAGTCTCATCAAGGGAAGATAATTCTCCCATAGGTATGGCGATACTGCCTTTACATAGTACCTAATTTACATATCACTACATTAACAATACTTCGGTTTGTTTTTATATAGTATTTTTGTTGTCAGGTGACCCAGACAATAAAAATACAAACAAACTCCAAACAAAATTTTAGAACTAATAATATCTAATACTTAAGATCAGTACCAAGACAATCAAAGATTTAGTTAGCTATCAGCGTAAATGCAGCACCACATCAGATGCTGTGATTTACAGTATAAAAATGTCTGCAATGTCAGAAGAGATATATAGGCGAAACATCCAAAAGTCTAAAACTCATATCTACGAACATAAAGAGAGACTTATGTTAAGTCACCCCCTTTGAACTCATAACACTCAAAAATAAGACAGGCCATAACAGACTTAATAAATGCGAAAATGAGAAAAGAACAGAATTTATTATGTAGAAAATAATTAGAAGGAATCCTAATAAATATCTTCCCATCACAATAAGTACATGTCAAACACATTTTATTATATAACCAACTTTTATAAAATCCATACTTAAAGAATCTAAGATTAATCTTCCTACAAATTAATTAATCTTTCAGTGTAATTGAAATTTTTTCACTCCCACATAAAACTTCCTCCAATCTACAACACAAACTTTGGGTTTGATTTGATTTGTTTTACAGCATATCAACCTCAATTCGTTATTTAATGCCAACAAAATTTTTATTGCTGGTACTAAAACCTATTTTTACACTTTCATAGTGTTTTGACACCAGTTTGGAGTTAACTATTTGCCCATAGCTGGGAACCCTAACAGGTGCTCCCACCCCAGGTCAGGGTGGTCCTGAGAGCTCCAGCAATTAAGAAGTGGTTCCATGCTACTCAAAACCTCCTGATCAGAGGCCTTGCTTTCAAATAATACCCATCAAAAACATAAATGCACTTATACACGGACATACATTATCAACCAAATCCTGCATAGACCAACTAGAATCATGATACAGACATGTATTATACACATGAATGCAACCAAACAAGACAAATACATGCACAAGGTCTACTTAACCAATGAGAATCAAACAAAACAAAAATAGAAATTTTTTCTCATCCATATTTCATTTTCAGATAAAGTTTAAATAAAAGCAAAACATTAAATTTATAAATTTTTCTGATTTGTTTCTTGCCCTATCATTCTCTTGGATTCTAATCTATATGTCTCTCACACACACACACACACGTGTGTGTGTGTGTGTGGGTTGGTTTTAAGACATTTTTTTATGTTTATACGTTTTTTTTATAGATACAAATATTTAAGTAAATGCTCTGTTTATAATAAGCAGTATTAGCGACATTTACCAGCTTGAATGTGCAAGAAATTTTCATAGAAAATATGCGTCCTCCGACAGGAATCGAACCCATATCCTATATGGAACCATTATATAGCCTGACGTGCTTTACCAATTTAGCCACAGAGGAACATTTCAGTTAGCAAGGTCGATATTACTGTTTTTAAACTACAATTCTACATGATTTTCTCTCGTACATTCATATCTACTCGATACATATCCAAATGTAAACAAATGACATCACACATTATGAAATTATGAACACATTATGGTTCGATTCCATAATGTGTTCATAATTTCATAATGTCGACAAGTGGTGCACTATAAACTGTTACCAACTGGTAAAAGCATCACTGTAGACCTGTACTTGCAGCAACTGGAACATGTGCAACAGGCACTGAAAAAAAAATAAATAAATAAAAAAATAGGAGTCAGCATTGGTTAATTGCAAGGATATCTGTTCCTCAATGACAATGCCAGGCCTTATGTAGCATGCGTGCCAGGGATACCATACGACAACTTGGCTGAGAGACACTGTGTCATCCACCTTACTCTCTGGACGTTGCGCTAACAGATTAACACTTCTTCCATTCCTTGATTGAAAACTCTTTGCAAATGAGGCAGACACTCACAGATCTCTGTGTTCAAGACACCCAATTTTTACTGCTAGGGCATTGCTCAGCTGGAGGCATGTTGGCAAAAGGTTTTAGATGACCTCAATGGGGTTGACAGCATGTCAAATTTGCTGTATACCTTTTTTTTTCTAATAAATCAAAAATGCCAAGGACATTTTGGGTTACCACACACACACACACACACACACACACACACGTGTGTGTGTGTGTGTCTGTCTCTATACTGGGTTGATAAGACTGACAAATTATATCTTTATCTGTCGAAATAAGCTTATTCTCCATATGAGGTGATTTTGGATTTTATTGTGTATTGAGTTCTCTTTGTGGACCAGTTCTAATATTTTATATTACTAGGATCCACTTGGATTATAGACCAATGGATTTATTATCTTTACTCTGTGTGTGTGTGTGTGGGTGTGTGTGTGTGTGTTTAATGCACCCCTACCCTACCTCGACTTTAGCTCTTTTTTGAACATAACTCATAATTGATACAATAATAGTTAATAAAAATGAAGACGCTACCACCCCTGTCTAAATGATTGAATTTCTCTGTATCCTTGGAAACAAAAAATTATGAATCGTATGCGCGTTTAAAACTCAGTAAATTTAAAAATAAGTTATTCCTAAATTTGCTTGAAGATAAAACAGAACTAATGCTTTTAATTATATAATTAAGTTTAAAGTTTTTAGCTTTGGTTTTTGAAACATGGTAATTCATGTGTAGCGAAGGGACCATATTTTTAAATCAGTTAATTTATAATATTTATGCTCTGTAAATTTACATTGAGCACTGTTTTTGTAAAAATAAAAATATCAAATATCAATAAGAACACTGGATTATATATCTTACTGTTCTTTCTTTTTATTATAATTTATTTATATATATATATATATATATTAATACAAATATAAAGTTTGTCACATAGCTAATTAGTGCTACCTTCAGCATCCAGACACCAGAGTTTTGTAGATGGACTCTTCAGCAATCAGTTCTGTCCACTCACTGGGGGTGGGGGGATAATCAGCAATTAACTGATTATATTTCTTGTTTTTTTTCTTTTATATACACACTTTTTTACCTTTCACAGTGCATGCATTCTTTATATATGTATGTGTGTGCGCACTATTTCATCTTTAAAAGCTGTTCCATTTTAAACATTTGATGGAAAAAGAAAAATTTTGCTGAAATACAATGTTCATTCAGTAACCCTCTACATTGAGTGGCTCTTGGGCCATGTACTGGGTGAACAATTAGTATAGAAAAAAAAAAAAAATTTTTTAAATAGTCTGAATATTTGAATAACTCATCCCAGAAATTCAGACAGAAAATAGATTTTCTCACTTTTTGATGACAATGATTTTTTTTTTTCTTTTCAACATTTACCTAAGTCAGAGATTCTAAAGAAAAACTCTTCAGCTTGGATGAAATGAAGATATTGGGATCAAATTTCCTTTGTAGCACAATAAAATGAAAATTCTGCTTACCTCTTCATATCTGCCGAGTAGGTTTTGTTCTCAGCCATGAGTTTCCATCGATTGGAATGACCATAAAGGACATTAATCGAGAATTTCTTCACATATCCTTCCAGAACAGAAATAACATTAGGTTCGGCAGGAAGACGTAACAACTATATAAAGCAGAGAGAATAAATAAAAGAAAAATTATAAGAAACCAAAAAATATTTTTTAGCATTTGACCAGTATAGTAACAAATGCTTACAATGATGTTCACCCTGTACAAGGCCCAAGAGCCACTCGAAGTAGAGGGTTACAGAGAAAGAGGTACTACCCCAAGCAAGGTGATAAAGTCATCAAGATGCAAAGTCACCAAAAGTGGAAGAGAAAGAAAAAAACTTCAAAAGGAATTGGAAATCCAATCCTGTTCAAAAGATTGGGGAGGAGTGTGAACCGAACAATAGGCAAACCTATCTACTCCTTGCATAGCTGATTTCATAAATAAAATAAAAAAGAAAAGAAAAACACAAAGGTAAAAAAAAATTCTCTCAAGGCACTTTTTATGTAGTAAATATTTTAAAATATTTAAAAAAAAAAAAAAAATTATATATATATATATATATATATAGTGTGTGTGTATATATATATATATATATATATATATATAATATCTCACTAATCAGCATTCAAAATCCTGACATTTTTACCTCTGGCACTAGTGAAAAAAGCATGCCAATTTCAGCAACTAGGAAAACTGCCATTCACAATTCAAAATCCCAACTTTTGAGCTCTTGCACCAAAGGTTAAGGCTTAACTATTTCAGCCACTAAGCTGGCCACAAATATGCTGAAGATACATTCTGAAATTTCTCTAAAAAGAAATAAAAACTTATTCTTGTCCTTGAATAAAATTAGGAATAATGATAGATAAAAAAAAAAAAAAAAAAACGGAAATCTCAATATAGAACTTAGAAGTTCTTTTTAATATTTTTTTCAAGGCAAGAACATTGAGAGAAGCAACTGTAAATTACAGTTGACATGTCAATTTATGCTACATTCAAATAACAAAATTTATGGGGTTGCGCAAGTGGCACAAATGATACCAGCTCAGAGCAAGAAATTGAATTCTAGCCAAGTCCATTACATTCATTCTTGCACAAATACTGTTAAGAAATGTATAAGTTCATTTCTTTTCCATCCAGTTTTAGGTTAAATAGCAGAACAGACTGGACTTTTTATCCAAAGTCAACCAACATCCTAAGATGAAGAAAAGTCTCAATTTAAAACCATATGTAGATCATGGAGTTTACAATGTCTATAATCCATCTATGCCTTTATCAATATATTATTATTAACCTTAGCTTAGTATGGCTCAAGGTAAAATTAGAGGAGAATTGAATGCTTTAAAAGTCAGTATTCAACATCATTCTAGTTTTTACAATCAGCTTGAATATTAAGTAGGACTGATAGAAAATCTGAAACTAGCTATCACCAAACATCAAGCCATTGTGTGTGTTACATCAACAGCCATGGCCACTACATGGACTTACTTTGTTCCTTTTATTAATCATGATGAAGTCCTCTTCCAGCTTTTCTTGCAGGATCTTAGGAATGGTCAACCCAACTTCAATATCTTCATCACTATCATCAGATTGATCCTAGATAAAAACAGAATTTTGGTTGAAAAGTAGAAAAGGAAAATAACAAAAAAGTGAAATAAAAAAAAATAAAAAAATAAAAAAAAACAAAGAAAAAAAAAAGAAAAGGAGAGAAGCGCGAAAGCAAGATGAGAAAGAGAAGCGAGAAGAACAAAATGAGATAAAAATGTATAAAAAGATTCCATGGAGAAATTGCCAACTAAAAAAAGTGACTATTATAATGTTACCTGCTGTATTTTTCAAACATTCTCTATTTGTGAATCACCAATTACTTTTTCATAAGGAGTTATAGCTTGAAGGGTAATTTACCAGGAATGCAGAAATGGAAAGGTCTGTTGCATTAGCAGAAGAAACTAGTAAAGACTGTGTGCGTGTGTGTGTGTGTGTGTGTATTTTTAGTGTAATGGGGCAGTAGATTATTATTCAAACATATATTGTTAAATATAACCAACAATAAATGTCTTATGTTTGATCATGAGCCATTCTAAGTTTTGTACAAAAACTGACAAACATTTGGATATTTTTTTTTTTTTATGCCGTTCCCCGATCTAAGCTTTTGGCTCACATATAACCACTCTGATGATGTCTCATGTGAGCTGAAAGCTTAGATCTTTATTGTCTTTATTTTCTACCGAATGCCTCATAATTAAATATAATAGACATTCATTGTCCATTATATTTAACAGTATATATTTGAATATAAGAATTAGGCCCAGTAGTGAGTCTGTTTCATGCTTATACGCAATCTTCAGGCCATGTGCATTGTGTTTTGGTTCGACTATATATGCTGGTCAATGGTGCATTATGGGTAGGTCTTTTGTATTATTCTAACGGTTATACTTGAAATTATTTTAAGGGATACTGAGTAAAAATAACTGTGAGGTTGAATGCAGTTTTGCAGCTATTTTATAGAGTTCTTTGTTAACATTTTTTAATTATTATTTGTTGATTGCTATTATTAGAGAGCTTTGATTATACTGCTGTGGGTTTCCCAGTGATCAGGGTAGCCAGCAGTTAGCTATCTCTCACTCCTTCTTTCCAAGCATCCCTGTCAATCAGGCTAATGTGAGCATGGACACACTCCCACACATCACTCCCAATGCAGCCCTTTCACGGCTTCCTAGGTCTACCTAGACTTCTGTAACCAGGAACCCTGAACTCTGAGACAGTCCTAATGTATGACAAACTCGTTGAACATGACCAAACTAAGACAACGGGTGCACAGCACTGATGTTATATTCTTTATAACGAGCCTTGTTAACAACTCGATTGAGGGTGTTTCATACTGAAGATTCGTGCTGCAGAACCATCAAATCATCAAGCATTCATTGCAGCAGAGCCACTGCAAGATTGATGTACTTGGTGTCCAAGTCTCACTGCCATGGAGTAGTGCAAATCGTACACACAAAGAGAACAAATTGAGTCCTCAACAATACGTGTTTGCATGTGCGATAGGTAGGAGGTTTTTTAATTTCCCCCAAGCTACAGAGGACCTGGCAATAATAGCAAGCTCGCAACCTCCACCTGCACAGAGCATATCTCCAAGATAACAGAAACAGGGCTCAGTATTCATTTTTGAACTATCCAAAGTGACCTGGGTAGTGGGACTGCCATTAATAGAGCGTGCTTTGCCATAGCATCTTGGGCAGATGTAATCTGGTAGTTCCGTTAGCTTACCGCTGATGTCACTGATTTTGGAGCACAAGATCACTGCAATTTTACCCAATCCACTGCAGCAGACAGCACAGGGAAATGTACCAGATTCCATAACTTGTCCAGGTCAACATCAGAAATCATAAACTTGGTCTTTTTCATGCCCGCCCTCCAGGTATTCAGCTTGGCAACACATTCATCCAGAGTGTCAAGGATTAACACAAGGTTGTCATCAAATAAAAGTTCCCATGGTACAGCAGTGGAGAACTCCTGAGAGCATGCCTCCAAGAATCAAGAGCAGTGGACTCAAGACTGAGCCTTGATGAACATCAAACTCACTGCAATATTGGGTATTGATTCTAATTCAACTCCAGACATTGTAGTACATGCCCTAAACCACTCAAACAACCCAATCCTCAACCCCAAGGCTTCCTAAATTTGTTTTTATGTTTTTGCTGTACACTGGTTTAAACTAAATGATGTTTATGTTTCTGTTGGCTTTTTTTTGTGTTGTGTGGTATGTATTGCTGAAATTCCATTATCTTTTAGGGTTGTTTCATAATTTTTCTTGGCTTCATTAAAGATGATTTCACAGTCAGGATTTCAATTGTCAGATAACATGCCATTAATTAATTGTGGAGTCTGTTTGATTAACGATGACAGATGATTGGAAGATGTGTGTATCTTTCAACCCCACCGCTACCAATAATCAAGCATAAATAAATTTATAAACATTTACTAAATTATTAAAATGTGAACCAACTATAAGGAAATCCTTATCTACCAATTTTTTTAAAGTTTAAATTAATTGGCAATTAGCCAATGTTTTGCCAACCACCCCAATTAAACAATATAATAGTATAAATAAAATATTAAATAATTTTTTATTATTTTTGTTGTCACTTCTCAAAAACAAAGAAAATGTATAAATTAACTTTCATATGTTTAGGTTCTATTAAAATTCTAATCACTTTTTAAAACAGTAAAACTTTGGCAAGGAGTAAAGGTAATTAAAATGATTGTAGCTTCAAAGGGAAAATAGTCCTTTTGAAAAACTGTTTTTTTGTAGGCACAAAGGTTAAAGATTGCCATATATATATATATATATATATATATATATATATATATAATAAATAAAAACATAAATTAACGATTTTAAAAGTTAAAATTTTGAAATGTTACAACTTAAAATCTTGTATAAGTTGTTAAAAAAAAAAAAAAAAAAAAAAAAAAAAGACAAAAAATTTATCCTTTTCATCACAAAATGAAAAACTGGTCAATAATCTGATCAACATTAATTGAAAAACTGATCAATATAGTGTTTATAATAGAATAGGATGAATGCAGAAAAAAAGAAAAAGAAAAAATGCAGAAAAAGAAAAAAATGCAGAAAAAGAAAAAATGCAGAAAAAGAAAAAAAATATGTAACGTCTCCCAGAGAAAGATACATGTCATTGGTTGGAGGTGAGAGGGGGGGGGGTGTCATAGAAAGGCTTACGTTTTTGCTGGTGGCACCATTTTGGACTGGTTTCCTCTGACTGTTCTTCTCAGAGAAATCTGAACCATCTAAATCTGATTCAAAGTCAAACACCAAAGGTTTGTGCTTGAAGGCTTTCTCAAGGATGTCATCTATTTTAGTCTTCCTCACTTGATTATCATGGCTAAAAGAGAAATTAAAATTTAATCAGAACCCAATTTATTTTTGAAATAATAGAAAAAGTTTCAAAACGATACATAAACAAAACAAAAAAAAAAAAAAATTGTAAGTAAAGAGATTTGAAGATGAACTCCTGTGAAGCCACAGATATTAATTCCCATAGCAGTGATAGATAGTGATGTCTTTTTATATATGGGATCAGATTTCCTACATTTTTCAACCGATTTCAACAAAACTTCACTTTTTTTTTTTGGCATGTAGTGTTTCTTATCGTCTTGCACACTTTTTTCTTTATTTTTACATTCAGAATGCTTTAAAAATTCCATTTACAAGACAATTGTTTATAGTAAAATTCTATTCAATCGGTAGACTCATAATGATTGAAAACAATGTTTTTGTTTCAGTTTGGGTTTGACCAATGCATAAAAAATACAAAAAAAAAATACTAATTAAGACATGCGTGTCCATCATCCTTAAACAATAATCTTTCCCAATTTTATTTTTCAGTCTTTATGATGGTTGATACTTGATCTATCTCTTACTGTTATATCCCTGAGCAATGCCGGACTCTCCTGCTAGTATATTATATAATAACATAATGTATTATAAGGATAATGTATTATATAATAACATAATGTATTATAAGGATAATGTATTATATAATAACATAATGTATTATAAGGATAATGTATTATATAATAACATAATGTATTATAAGGATAATGTATTATATAATAACATAATGTATTATAAGGATAATGTATTATATAATAACATAATGTATTATAAGGATAATGTTTGTCTATATTTCTGAGATGAGGTATTATGTACAGTATTTACATTAGTCGGACTATTGTCCTCATCTTTGTCGCCATATTTGTCACAACGTTTCGGCCGTTGTACGCTCCGGCCTTCTTCAGGTGGTTGGAATTTCGAACTGAACCCTTTATTTCGATCACTGGGGTAGACTGTTCTAATTCCCGTGCCATGTTTGATGGATGTCAGTTATCAGTTATCTCCTGCTAATTTTCCCTCTGAAAGTTCTCCACTGCCTTAACCAGGTATTGAACTCACCTTCTTTGGGTCTGTCACTGGATCTAACCAACGCCTTTATCCACTGTGCCATGTGTCCTTGAGGACACATGGCACAGTGAAATTAACAAATCTACCCCAGTGATCGAAATAAAGGGTTCAGGGTGTGGAGAAATTCCAACCACCAAAAGAAGGCGGGCCATAACAATTTATAAACGTTTGACAAATATGGCGACAAAGATGAGGACAATAGTCCGACTAATGTAAATACTCTAAGGATAATGTATTATATAATAACATAATGTATTATAAGGATAATGTATTATATAATAACATAATGTATTATAAGGATAATGTATTATATAATAATATAATTTATTATAAGGATAATATATAATAATGTATTATAAGGATAATATATAATAACAATGTATTATAAGGATAATATAAGGAGATGAATAGTTGGGACATCAAATGGTCCAACTTTTGCAGCATTAACATATGCCAATACAATGCTACAATGTAATAATTCTGTGTATTTGCCTAAAGTGTTCCTCTAAATGGTGATCAGATTAACTAATCCACTTATCACCCCACATTTAATGATTAAATAGAGCATTTTCCTTGATCTTGACTTTGATATACAAGGTGCGATGGATAAATTGCCACCATTTTCTATTTTTAATTTCCCGCATGCACTTTGTTTGCTTTTGACGATGTCAGTGTTATTTTCATTTTTGCATGGTTTAGACCATTTATCCACCACGCCTTATACAATTATTTTCTTGCAATTACCATGCCCCACATTGGGAACCATTGCTGTAAAGAGAGCTTGTGTGTGACCAATAAACATCCTTTCATATGTATTTATTATGCAGACATGCTGATATGTGTGCATTTTGCTCCCCTGATGCATAAAAATCTTAAAGGATGCAGTATCTTTCTCATCTGTGCGTCCTAAGGACACAACTAAAGTTTCCCCATGAAAAGAAATACACTGCACAAAACTAGGTACCAGCAAAGATTTGCTAAAAAAATTAGCATACAATGATGAACAAAAATTGCCCCCAAATTAATAAAAACAAAGTCTTATCAAAATCTTCATGTTATTATGAAAGAAAAAATACCAAAGTATTTTTTTGATTATTTTATTAATTTTAAAATCCTTCTCAGCAGCATCAAAAATTTTGGTTTAATATTTTGTTTTTTATTTTTTTTTTTTTTTTTTACATTAATAAGGGAAACAAAAGATTAACATAGAAATTTTTTCTTTTTTTTGTGGTTAAAAACAAGGATTTTTGATTATTAAATTATATTTTTTTAATATTTTTTAGAACCTTCAAAATATTGTGTGACTATAAATTAGTATGGGAAATCTAGGAGTTTTTTTTACAATGCAAATTACGCCGATTTGAAAATTCTTGCAAAAATCAAATAATTGTTGGATTTTAATGAAACATTCAGGACTTATTCAAAGATTAATTAAATTTTAGAAATGTTTCTTTTATAGAAAACTTAGTAAAAATATTATTTACATTATTTAATTCTAATAATTATATATAAATTTGTTAATAAAAATGTTTGCAAGACAGGTTTTTTGGATAGTCTAAAATAAACAAATAGATCTGAACCCTCAGTGAGAGTTGACTAAATATTTTATAGATTTCAACTGGTACACTAATCAATACTTACTAACACTTGGCAGTTTCTGCCAGTTTCTTCATCAGTCGTCTGTTCTCTTCATTGCTTTTCAAGATGTAATTTTCACCAACCGTTCGATCCCAACTGAAAAAGAAAAAAAAAAAACTCTTTTTTTTTTTACAGAAAAGTCTCCATATCAAAAGAAGAAGAACAAATAAGACATACATATAACATTGTACAAGGTGATGCTGAAAAGTTTTAAGCATAATGCGCTTCCCAAAATCTGATCAGAAAAGTTGTCAGCCCAACCAAAAAGACCTGAAAAAACTTGTCAAATATTTAGAAGTGAGTCGGATTAACAATGTTTCGTGACACCATCACATACAACCTCATAAATAATCAAAAAAAACAATAATAATTAACTTTTTTACAGCTAGAAATTTATTACAGAAGTCTTCATTCATGTAATAATGTTGCTTAATATTTTGATTTATCCTAGAAATTTTTTTTTTTAACAATGATATTCACCCTGTAAGTTGTTCAAGATAGAGGCTTATAAAGTGGCACAGTTTATGAAGACATATGGGGGAAATAATTGTTAATCCTTGACTTGAACAGGTTAAGATTGTAGTGATTGGGAAACACCCTCTTGGAACTCAGCCTGCTGTCTTGATAATCTCTCTCTCGTAGCCTGCTGTCTTGGTATGGTGGGTCTTAACCATGAAGATTAGAACTGGCAGAACTAAGGAATCTAGTTCGTCTGAGCACTTTCCACGGAAATAGAGATAAAGTAATGAGAGGCCCACAACATTTCATTTGTGAGAGGGAGATTGCAGGATGGAAAATAATTCATTACCCACAAGGATGAGGAGATACTTTTAAACTGTTGTGACAAGTGAAGAATGGGCAGCTCTTGGCCATATATGGCAGAACTAATCCATTTTCAGCCTGATCTGGCTCTTGTAGAGGATAGTAGGAATGGTACAGAGAACCAACCATTTATTTAAAATCAGTAAAACAAAAATAAAATAAAAATAAACCTATTTAAATATTTGTTATATCCAAAATGAATGTGTAAATACATGAAATATTCAAAAATATCTTCTGTATTAATTAACATTACTCTTTTTATTTATTTTAATACTTATATTTCAATCGATATTTATATATACATTGTCTCTAGCCCTGAAAAAATTTCAACATTAAATAATCCTCTTAAACAAACCGTCATGTCATTATCCTAAATAAATCAACAAAAAAAATTAACGAGTGATTTTTAAACAATACATCATTTAAGAAAAGCACCATTCAGATATAAAGTTAACTCCATTTAATTTTCTATGTTCAGATCTTTCAGGATATCTACCAATCTCCCTACGCAGTCAGATGTGGCACAAGGCCGAATTTAAATGTGGGGTATCCAAGCCCTGTTTGAATCTTTCAGTGAAGTGAATCATTTGACAAAATGAAGATTTGATTTTCAAATAAATGACATTCAGTTGCTATGAACTGGAACAACAGCAGAACTGTATGCTCTTTCAAAGTGGGAAAACCCAAAAGTCTGACCTGCTGTTCCATCCTTGGAAGTGAATTCGGTAAGCCGGCATCTCTTGACCAGACCTTGCCTTTAGTTGAGCAGTTTCCAAAATCTGCAAAAAGTAATGAAAAGAAAAAAACAATTAACGCTCATCCACTTTCTTGGCATCAATACAATTTGTTGTTTGGCTTGATTTTAAAAAATGCCAACACCCGAGGACAAGTCAATCAGTCTTAATCATGCACACAAGTTTATGAAATAAGTGGCTCACTGTATTCTCTCAGTATGCCCTCTGAGGGTTAGGTTTTCTAAGTCGTCCTTCATTATGTGTCCAAGGAATTTTAGCTATCTTTTCTTGATTTTGAGTAAAAGTGGTCTTTCTGATACCATCTTTAAGCCATCCCTGTTGGTTATTTGCACTGTTCAGAGAATTCTCAACATCCTTCTGTAGTCCCACATTTCTGATGCCTCCAGTTTTCTCATCTGTGTAGAGAGGATGGATATTACATTTTATGCTTTATGTCATCTTTTAAAGAGGACATAAATCAAAGTTGGAAATAAGTAACAGGCTGCTTGTAACACCAAAGAAATTATAAGGGAATATTTTCATCACAATGTATCCAAGTGATTAAATCTTGACCCCAAATCTTGATTTATCAATAAAATTGTTGCTTTTTTTTATCCTTTAAAAAATTACAGTTCCTTCAGATTCAAAATATACATGTGGCACATTAGGTCTCCCATATGACAACCAGAACACACCCAAAGTCAAGTGGGCCTGAAATGATTCAGAATTGTTGGTTTTTTTTTTTAATGGATGGAAGATAAAGTTAAATGAAGTCTAGTCTTCAAAGAGGCAACTCACTTGAGCAAAGGAGAAGAAAAACAAATAAATGTTGTGCGAGACAATTTTTCTCATCAGAAGCTATTTTACATATTTATAAGTCTAACATTACTTCTTGCTTTGAATATTGCTGCCACATCTGGTCCGGTGCTCCTGCTATATATTTAGAGAGTCTTGATAAGAATCTGCAATGTTATTGGTCCTGACCTGGCATCTTGACTTCAGTCACTTTTCCACTACCATAGCATAGCATCCCTGTGGCTTTTCTTTAAATACTTTCATGGTAATTGTTCGGATGAACTCTCTGCTAGACTTTATGAATTTAAGCACAGTACTAAACTAGCAGCCAGGTCTCATAATTTTACAGTTGAAATGATGAGATGTAACGATAAGTTCTATGTTAACAGTTTCTTCTATCATAATTTTCGAGTGTGGAACTCTTTTCCGGCTTCTTGCTTTCCAGTCAACTTTGATCTTATTGTCTTACCCAGGACATGGAGGTAGTTTATCATCATACACAGGATGGCTGAATTTGGGCACAGTGCTGGATTGGTGGCAGGGGTCTGTTTTACTGTTGAAGTGGTTGTGGATTCTATGCTAACAGTTTCTTCTATCACACTTCCTGAGTGTGGAAATCTCTTCCAGCTTCTTAGTTTCCTGTCAACTTTGATCTTGAAAAATTTAAATGCAATGTCAATCATTATCATGTCTTAATTCTTATTCTTTTATTATACTCTCCTCTTAATAGTAGTTTTCTCATGTGAAAAAAAAAAAAAAAAAATGTTCAAAAATAATTTCACTCATTTATGAATAAGTTCTGAAAGTTTCATTAAAATCTGACAATAATTTGGTTTTTCCAAGAATTTCCAATTCAATGTGTTTTTCAAAAGAAAAAAGCGCAAAAACACTAGTCATACATTAATGTTTGAATGCTGACGTAAAAAAAAAAAAAAAAAAAAAAAAAAATCAAAATTTCAAACGTGCTAGAAAGGATTAAAAAATTTAATAAAATAATAATAAAAAATACTTTTGATGATAAGATATCATTTTTATTAAGTTTGGGTCCTTTTTTCATCATGCCATGCTGTTTTCAGGGAGCAAGTGGAGGTATATATATATAACAGTACATATATAACAGTAACTGAAGGACCTTGGAAACAAACTCTGGACACAAAACATACTTTACCAATAGTAAATATGCAAACAACACAACTCTTTCTAAACATATATAGGAAATTAAAATCTTAAATTTAGATATCTATAATTTATCTCTAGATGTGAAAAACATTAAGATCTAACTCATGGTGTTCTTTACTAAAGCCCAAGGTACAGTGCAACTCATGCATAGAACTGGGAACATAAATCTATTTATTCCACTGAGAGTGAAGATTTTTAGTTTTTATTCATGTCATCTTGCTGCTGTCACCAGCTTAAGAAATTCAAAGAAAAAAAAGGAAGGATTAAGAACCTAATTTGGCTCAAAAAGATAAAGAGGATTTATCTTGGCATATTAATTTTTCTTTACTAAGGTCATATTACAGTTAATTTGGCAGAGATTCAGCTTCATCATTTCCTACTCCATTAACAAGGGTGAACAAAATGTGTGCATTTTAATCTTTGAATTATCCACTTTTAAAAACAAATATTGTGTATGGATCGGTCACACACTTCACAAGCCTGCTTCTAGTGTCTGGCAGGCCCTTGACTAGAATCCACAAGGCAAGTGAAAAGTGGGTTGACTAAAATAGACTTGGCACAGAAGTGTTGATGCCGAGGTGAAGGCAGCTAGCTCAACATGGGCCAAGCTGAAGAGGATCACATGGAACCGCATCCATTGGAGAGGTGTTGTTACGGCCATATGTTCCCAAAGAATCAAGAGGCATAAAGAGAATTTTGTTTTAATAAATAAAGCAAGAATTTTTTTTTTTCCAGTCATTTTCTGTTGAAAAGACTTGGGTGAACCATTAAAAAACATTTATGTTATGTTTTCTGCTTATCATAAAATAAATTGAAAATACAAGGGTGAAATTAAAAAATACAGAAAATTTTAGTCATGATGCAAGGCAAATACTGGTAAATGAAATTTTTTTTTTTTTTATTGACTAACTTTTTTTGATCGTGAATAGTTGCTATCTGCTAATCAAATACTTAACAGCACAATTTTTGAAGTTTGATAAAAGTTACTGAGCCCAAAAATTAATAAGAAATTTTTTTTATAAGATTAAAATAATAAGTAGATTGTTTTTGTATTTATTTATTTTTAAAACTTTATCGAAGTACCTAGAAAAAAAAAATTGATTCATAAAAATGCATGGTAAAGCTGCAAGGTTAGAGGCTAATGTTTTGTACACTTCATTTACAATATCTAAAAATATTGAATTAAATTTATCAAATCTAATTAGGATATAAATTTCACATAACATTCTAAATAAATGATTTTTCATTAATTTTGTCGTCTAAAATGTTTACTCCTATTTTATGTATTTAACAGTAAACTAAATTTAAACATTTTTAGATTGAAAATATCATCAATATATTTATTATGAACATTAAACTTTATTCAGACTATTGTCCTCATCTTTGTCGCTATATCTATTACGTTTTGGCCGTTGTACGCTCTGGCCTTCTTCATGTGGTTGGAATATCAAACTGAACCCTTTATTTTGCTCACTGGGGTAGACTGTTCTAGTTCCACGTGCCATGTCTAATGGATGTCAGTTATCAATTATCTGTTAATTACCCTATCCAAGTTCTCCACTGCCTTAACTAACAAGGACACATGGTACAGTGGATAAAGGCATTGGTTAGATGTGTGAGTTCAATACCTGGTTAAGGTAATTAACAGAAGATAACTGATAAATGACATCCATTAAACATGGCACATGGAACTAGAACAGTCTATCCCAGAAAGCAAAATAAAGGGTTCAGTTTGACATACCACCTGAAGAAGGCCGAAGCATACAACGGCTAAAACGCTGCAATAAATATGGCAACAAAGACGAGGACAATAGGTCGAATAATGTAAATAGTGTACATTATACCTCATTTCAGAAATATAGACAGATCCCAAAATTAAATATAAAACATTAAAATTAACTTATTTGGGAGAGACTTTGTAAGATTTATAGTAATAAAAACTAGAAAACATCAAATTAATAAATTATTTTTTTAAAATCAAGTAAAATCAAAAAGTTACATTTCAGTATAAGAAACACAGTAAGAATTCAACATACTTTTAGTTTCTTTAAATTTCAGTTCTAACTAGTACAAGTGACATTAAAAACCAACAAATTTTGGAATAATGCTTGCAGATCATGGAGACCACAGTTTAAAGATTGAATGGATCAAAATAAATATTTATTCCCTAAGCATTTTAATGGGGTTTTTATTCTGCTAAACACCTTGCCTGAATGCCAGACATCTACCTACACAAACAAATCTTCTTCTCAGAGCTCACATATGGCAAGAGACCATGCATTGTAGATTCAAGGGTCAGCTGAATACCTTACTGAATCAATTGGGTGATGGAAGCTGCAAAAAGAAGCAGTCCACAAGAGCATCCTTCGAAAATACCAGGTGACAAGTAGAGGAGAAGAAAAGAGCCCAAAGAAAAGCCATAGCTCTCCATCACCTGAACCCTCCTACCTTATCATGCAGTGTCTGCCGTCATCTCTTCAGACCGAACATAGGACTCATATCACACAGAAGGAAATGTCTAGGAGTGCCCCAATGACGACAATGGAGATAGAACATTTTCATTTTTTAACAATTTCAATTTTTTTCAGTAAGACAAAGGTTTTTTTTTGGGGGGGGGTTTCAGGATAGTTCTAGGATGACGGGCAGGGGTGTGAGTTAGTCTGGAATCCCATATAAAAAACAAAAAAAAGTGCAAAGTGAACAGAAACTGTCCCAGCCCAAGTTTGAACTCAGTCCACCAATTCCATCCTCCATGCCATTAGCTGTCAGACCACCTCTACCTCCAATTATTTATAACCAAATATCAACTAGATTCCTAAGAATCAAGTAATTAGAGCAACTCATATCCTTATTTTTTCACTAATGTTCTCCAAAACATCATATGGTAGTCCTTGAACACCATTCAGTCCTCTTTTTAAGCTCCTCAATATGTACATATTTTCATCACTTCAATCTGAGCAAAATTTAAGCTTATAGTTTTGAAGAGTAATATTTGGCCATTTAAGTCTTCCATATCTTACAAAAAGGTT